TAATATATATACACACATTTAACGGGCCGGGCTTTTAGGCCCGCCGGGCCTATATTAGAATCCAAGCCCGCCCATATTTTAAACGGGCCCGGGCCGGGCCGGGCCGGTGGGCTAAACTGTGTGTCCAAACCCGCCCATTTATATGGGCAGGCCGGGCGGGCTGGGCCGGCCGGCCCGGTTTTGTGCAGGTCTACTCAGCCGCTAATTTGTCTCAGCCGCTATTCTTTCAGTCGCTGATCAATCATGAAATCTCCTTCAGGTAGCGCCGATTCAACCAGTGAATCCAGTCACACTGGCGGTGCAAATCCCACATCTCAATCTGATTCTTTTCGGAATATTTCTATTATTTCTCATAATTTAAATGGGAGTAATTATCTTCAATGGTCTCAGTCTGTCAAATTGTTTGTTCAAGGACGGGGGAAATTTGGATATCTCACCGGATCCACCGCCAAGCCGGAGGAAGGAGAGGAAGGGCTTGATCGATGGGAAGCTGAGAACTCCATGATCATGTCATGGCTTGCGAATTCGACGGATTCAGATGTTGGTCGTGCCTACTTGTTTTTACCAAGTGCACATGAAATCTGGACTGCTGACGTGCACTTTGTCGTGGTGTGCACTCAAAATAATAATACAATACAACACTTATACGTAGTATAACGTAGTAAGGTTCGTATCCACAGCGAAAGGAATACTTCTCTTTTTATAACTAGTAATAAGAGTTTTTTTTTAAATTTGTAGTTGAAAAACTTTTAAGAATATTAAAACACAAAGATGAACGAGTTATGTGGTTTAATTAATGAGAAGGAGACTTGGTTTTGCTTTTATCCACTTAATGAAATGTTCGTCGATCCCGGTTATATCTTTAACTATCTTCCTCTCGAATACTCAATCGAGGAGTATATCCACTTCATCGAGGGTAGTTATTAATAACGAGACACGTTCATTAATAAAACTTACTACCGAGTTAATATAGAACACGCGTCGTATATTCACTCGATAGTAGCAATAAAATCAAGATGAAAACGATAGAGATTGATAATCTCAACACAAGCGGTTTATTGGTTTAATCAATATAATTAATTCCCCTTGGTTTATTAACCATGAAACGCATGCATTAATAACCCAAATTTACTACCGTGAAAGGACCGAATTAATAACAAGCGTATTAATCAACCGATTTTAGTAATAATTAATATATGAAACAAAACTAGTTGATCCTTTAAGTAATGTTCAAAATATTAATATGAAATATGAATAGGAATTAATTAATACTCAAGGAAAAATATTAAAGAAGATGAATCCTACTATAGTTAATATCAAGATGTTAACTAATTGTCATCTTAGTAACACTCCCCAATATTAACATAGAGGAAGAAATAGCTATTACTATAACTAATGTCAAGATGTTAACTAATTGTCATCTTAGTAACACTCCCCAACATTGATATAGAAATAGTATTTAAAGGAAGAATTAATATTCAAGGAAGAAGATTAAAGAAGATAACTCACAACTTACAAATTCATTAAGCTTCAAAGTAGCAAAACCAAGATGGAAAGACTACCTAAATTACAAGAATAAAGTGCATATGAAAGAGGGGATTAAATTGGTATCTAAAATAGGAAGGAAAGGGGTGTTTTTATAGGAGAAGTGAGGTGGTTGGGTCTAAGACATAATCTGATTTTCCCATGTTCACTTGCTTTATTTGATCTCTTATTATCTCCGGGTCAAATCATATCTGATTTTTCACATTTCTTTGTTCTCCATGAAGCTTCATCTTGTCTCCAATGCTCCTTCCTTATGCTCTCAAACTCCTTCCTCTTCTTTTCATCATGTTTTTGCTTACATGTCAAAATATCTTAATATCTTCTAATTTACTTTAATTTTAGAAGATAAAGATTACACCGTAATTGTACAAAACCTAAGTAAACATAATGTAAAACCATTCTAAAATGTAGTGTTTATGCACTACTAAATAGTACACATCAACTGCCATCAAGGAAACACACTCAGACTTGGGAAATGTCAGCCAACAATTTGAAATCAAGAATTAATTAAATAAAACACGCCAAGGAGACAAGAGTGTCACACAGTATTACACTGAACTAAGTACTCTATTTTGCAACTACACTTGGAAATGCGCAACAGATAGTGCATTATAACAAAAGACCATCCAGAAGAAGAGGGTCTTTGACTTTCTGGCTGGACTAAACAAGGAACTTGATGAAGTTCGAGGTCGAGTACTTGGAAAAGACCCACTGCCCAGCACTCGAGAAGCATTTGCAGAAGTTAGGAGAGAAGAAAGTCGTAGGCATGTGATGTTTGATGCTGATATTTCATCAAATGCTGAAACTATAGCGCTAGCCACTTCAAAAGCTGATGAGAAGCTAGAACTGTCACCTCAACCATTTCAAAAGAAAGAGAACAGACCTGTTAGTGACTACTGTCACAAGATTGGGCATATCAAGGCTAAATGTTGGAAGTTATATGGCAAGGCAGCTAACTTTGCACCAACAAATAGGTCACAGCGAAATTCCAGAGGTGGTTACCAGGTCTCTTCAGAAGAATCTAATGCGTATCTATCCTCCAGTGACAACTCATCCATTAAGGAAAACGTAGATAAATTGTGTCGTATCCTGAGTACACATCAGTTTGCTAGTAACCTGAACCAAAGCCCATCTGATCCTTCATCTTCATTAGTTCAAAAAGGTACATATGCATCAGCTTTTAACCTTAAATTAGATAAATCTGACCCTTGGATCATTGATTCAGGGGCCACCGATCATATGACTGGATCTTCATATATGTTTTCCACATATTTCCCTTGTTCTGGTCATCAAAAGGTTAAAATTGCAGATGGTTCCTTGTCAGCAATAGCTGGAAAAGGTTCTATTGTTGTCTCACCTTTACTCTCTTTAACAAATGTCCTACATGTGCCTAATCTATCATGTAATTTGTTACCAGTCAGCAAAATAACCAGTGATTCTAATTGCCTTGTCAAATTAGTTTCTTCTGGGTGTGTTTTTCAGGAGCACAGCTCGGGGAAGGTGATTGGTAGTGCACATGAAAGTGGTGGACTCTACTATTTTACCTCAGAAAATCTTCAACGTAAACAAGTTCAGAATCCATGTTTCTCTAGTTACTTATCTTTAGAGAATGAAATAATGTTATGACATTATAGATTAGGACATCCTAGTTTTGGTTATTTGAAACATTTATTTCCTATGTTATTCAAAAATAAAGATGTTGAAGTTTTTCAGTGTGAAATTTGCCAATTGGCTAAACATAAGAGATCTGTTTATCCCACTGTGAACTATAAACCATCCAAACCATTCTCCTTAATTCATAGTGACATTTGGGGACCATCTCGTGTCAAATGTTATTTTGGGGCAAGATGGTTCATTACATTTATTGATGATCACACACAAAAAACTTGGATTTATCTTCTTAAAGAAAAATCTGAAGCTGCTGAAACATTTAAAAGGTTTTATTCTATGATTCAAACTCAGTTTCAGTATCAAATCTAAGTTCTTTGAAATGATAATGGAAAAGAATATTTCAATAAAATTCTTGGAAATTTTTTGATCCAACAAGGCATACTCCATCATAGTTCGTGTGTTGATACACCTCAACAAAATGGAATTGTCGAAAGAAAAAATAGACATCTTTTAGAAGTTACTCGAGCTCTTATGTTTTCAATGAATGTTCAAAAACGTTTTTGGGGAGAGGCCTTACTCCATGCTGCTTATCTAATCAATAGGATGCCAAGAAAAATTCTAGGCTATCAAACCCCTTTAAAAACTCTACAAACATTTTTTCCTCACAATCAGATCACACTTTGTTCTACAAGCATAGTGTAGAGGGTAAAGTGGCAGTACTAATTGTATTTGTGGATGACACAGTATTGACAGGAGATGATCAGGAAGAATTGGCAGCATTAAAGAATTTCCTAGCTCAACAATTCGAGATAAAAGATTTAGGAAATCTCATGTACTTTCTTGGTATGGAAGTTGCTAGATCCCATAAAGGAATTATGATCTGTCAGAGGAAATATGTACTTGATTTGCTAAAAGAAACAGGTCTCCATGGATGTAAACCTGTGTCAACTCCAATTGACCCATATCAAAAATTTGGAAGAAGTGAAAATGAGGAAGCTGTGGACAAAACCAAGTATCAGCAACTTGTTAGGAAGATTATCTACTTGGCTCACACAAGACCTAACATAGCATTTGCAGTGAGCTTAGTCAGCCAGTTCATGCATAACCTAACTAAAGAACATCTTAAAGCTGTCTACAGAATTATTCACTATCTTAAAGGCAGCCCTGGAAAAGGAATTTTGTTAAGGAAAACTCAAAACAGACAGTAGTATTGATAGAAGATCTACATCAGCTTACTGTACTTTTGTATGGGGGAACCTGGTCACGTGGAGAAGCAACAAACAGCATGTTGTATCAAGAAGTAGTGCAGAAGCTGAATTTAGAGCAATGGCACAAGGGATATGTGAAGTCATATGGGTAAGACGCATGCTAAACGAGTTGAAGGTACCATTAGAGAAGCCCATGAGGTTATATTGTTATAACAAGTCTTCCATTAGCATAGCACATTATCCAGTGCAACATGATAGAACTAAACATGTGGAAGTTGATCGGAATTTTATCAAGGAAAAACTCGAGGGTGGAGGAATATGCATACCTTATGTGCCAACAACTGAGCAACTAGCAGATGTACTAACTAAAGGGCTCTTCAAGCAAATGTTTGAAGAAATTTTAGTCAAGCTAGGCATGATTGATATCTTTTCTCCAGCTTGAGGGGGAGTGTTAGCTATTTTGAATGAGTTGTAATTAGATAACCATTGTACTTAGTCAGGGTTGTTAGCATAGTTTTAGCTTAGATCCTAATTTTAAGGAATTAGTTGTTGTGATGTTGTGATGTATTCTATTTAAACTGGCAGTCTGTGAATAAAATATTCATTCCGCCTAAATCAGTTTAACTTTCACCTTGAGTCACCTGCCAGTTTTGGGGTATACATTTTGACAAGAGAGAGCAGAATTACAGATGTTCTTGTTGAGATAGTAGGTGGAACTGTTACGCATGAAGGGGAAGAATTGCTTGACTACTTGGATAATTCCCTATTTCGACTAATGGATGGGGGACATGGTAACACCAATGCAAATGCTTCAGGAGGAGTTCCAGCGGATGCAAGAGATAGAGTTTTATTATCAATTAGTGTGGATCATGCCAGTATAAACTCAAATCTATTACTTAATGATTTTGGGAAAAATTCCACTTTTGGTCCCATGACTTTGATACCACTTCCACATTACTCCCTTGACTTTCAATTTAACCAAATCTAGTCCGTGACCTTTTCCCGTTCACCACCCGTCGTCCTTCCGACCACAACTCCGACAAATTTTAACCGGAAACCAATTAATGAAGGTTAGTTGCGTCATTTAATAGCATTTATAGGTTTTCTTATCGAAAAAATTCCACTTTTGGTCCCATGACTATTATGCCACTTCCACATTACTCCCTTGACTTTCAATTTAACCAAATCTAGTCCGTGACCTTTTTCCCTTCACCACCCGTCGTCTTTCCGACCACAACTCTGGCAAATTTTAACCGGAAACTCATTTATGTAGAAATATTGGGACATTTTAGTAATTGTATGTTGTTAAAACGGCTACCTACAAAATTAACTTCAATTAATATTGAGTTAATACGCCGGCTTCCTTCATTCTCAAAACCTGCTTCCTTAATACGTCGGCGCCAACAAATCCACCACCGACGCTGATTAGTGTCAACACAGGCTCGCAGAATCACCACCCTTTTCTACCTCTTTCGTTTAGCCACCACCAGTTAAGGTAATAAGTTTCCTTCTGTTCAATTTTTTTGTTTTTATTCTAATACTATCGTATTGTGTTTAATTTTTGTTAGTGATCCGATGTTTATTTGAGATATTTCAATATTTTGTATACATGGCATTCAGATTGAATGTTCGCTCCAATTAGATATCGTATGCCATTTTCATGCCCATAAGGTGTTTATTAAAATGCTACAATGAAGTATTAATTGGTTATTAAAAATTGTTAAAAGACTTACATAATCTTTGCTCCTCTTGTTTTTAAATATGTTCTCTCTTTTATCTTCTTATTAAATTGCTCTCTATCCCTGGCACGTTAAAGCTCGTGAACTTGAGTGAGGGTTGGGGCTTCTGGAAAGTTGTTGCCTATTATCTATCTTTAACCGCTCATGAAGGGTTTGCTGCCTTGCTGGCATTGCTGCTATTGCGTTCCTGCAATGATACTCAGAGTGATGGTAGAAGGGTTTTGTCAGTGTACATTAAAACGATTCAGAAAATGCTCATAAACTCAATTTTTTCCATAGCATCTAATGTCTCAGCTTGGTGTACTTATTTTGTTGCACCACTCATAGAAGAGCTTGTTTTAGAGCTTGCATGATCCCTTTGCTTTCTTGTGGAGGATTCAATATGTATACTGTCATGTTTCTTTGTCCCATATTTTTTAGTTTAGCTCATTTGAACCATTTATAGGAATCACCCAGCAAAGAGGCAGCTTGCTCAAAGCTTTTAGGGTTGCAGGTTTCCAGCTTGGCTACACTGTCATATTTGGGTCATATGCTTCCTTTCTATATGTTTGTATAGGGCATCTGATCGCACCTCTTGTTGCTCACATCTTTTGTAAGTATATGGCCTTGCCCGTCATAAATTCTCCTCAATCAGGGACAATAGCATTGGCATTTCTAGTTGGGCTGCTGGGATTCTACCGGCTTCTTTTCCCATTAACCAGTCCACAACTTCATAACAATAGAGCAAGTAGTTGCAACTGCTGGCATCGATATTGTACATGAGACTAAAGAAGATTGGACGGCTTGAAAGAGATTGATCGGCTCCATTATGAAATTCAAGATAGATGGTACTTTCTCTTACTTCATACAGGATGCCAGCCACCTATTGCCACTTCCCACCATTTTAGAATGATGTACGTACAATATCTTGCATGCAGGTCACTCATACTTCAAATATTAACATTATTTACAACAATTTCTTTCTTTGCTTATTTTCTTTAAAACTGAATAGTGAAATCACCTCTAGTTTAGCAACACTTTTGTTTTAGTTCTTAAATATATACTCCCTCCGTCCCAAATTGTTTTGCAAAGTCATCATTTTTTTTGTCAAACAATAATAAAAGTCGATCCTCCCTATCGATAATTAATTCATTTTTTAATAATTGAAATTTACATATTCAGAAACTCCATTAAAATTTCTTCAAATTTGCAAACTTCAAATTAGAAAATAATTAAAAATTGGCATACTAATTAAGCGAATAAAATGAAACAGTTTGACCAAGAAAAGTCAAATATTTATTACATCCCTGTCTACTCTTTCTATAGATGGAAAGGATTGATCAGAAAGGTTTTTTTAGGACCATATACATGTCAATTGGGAAGTTTTTCCATTTCTTAATTTCGAGTTACTGAGAAGTTTCTAACTAACTAATTTTGATTAGGCAATACTTAACAGTAATTCACACTATATATTAGTTATTTATAGTGTTCTATGTCACCGTAGGTGGGAGCCTTTGCGGCACTGGGGTGATGATGATGATAACATCCTATCTCAGTTACTAAGGTGGTAATAAAAACCATAAAATACTCTATTTAGTTGCTAGTTTTTTCGTGAAAAGTCAGATATATAACCAACTAAAATATCAGTAGTAAAGTATTTCGTATTTATTACACGGTTACACCACACAAATGCTCAAATTTAAACTTCCAAAGTTGGACTCTCACTATAAAACGTAACAATAAATAGAATGAACTGCCTTTGGTGATGCTTAACTTCAGTCGCTATTGAGGAATTAACAACAATTCTATCAAAAGAGCACTAAACTAGAATTTGGAGTCTAATCCAGATTTACTATGGAGACCACCTGATACACTTGTAATTTCCGTATGTATGTTTACGTTTTTAGCTAGTTTTGGTTGTTTAGTATTTCGGAAATTACACACTTTTGGTGTAATAGTTTAGTTTGTTGAATTCTTGTAAATTGTTTAGATTAGGTTTATTCTGAGCTCAAACAGGTCTACTATCACTCAAAGGACGGTTGGTGAACCCCAAAAGTGGAAGGAAAGTGCAAAGTCACAAGACAAAAGGGAAGATCCTGATTTTTGGTCTATACTCGATCGAGTATCTGTATATACTCGATCGAGTATCTTGTTGAAATTTCAAATCGGATCCGATCCGGGGGCAAAGGAACATGCAAGGAAAGATTTGGCCACGTTTTATTGTCATACTCGATCGGGTACACCGACATACCCGATCGAGTATACATATGAATTTGAACCTGAATTCGGTCGAGTATAGCTCAAAATCATCATTCTGCACATACTCGATCGAGTATCTATCTATACTCGATCGAGTACCCGAGCTGCACTCCCAAAAAGCCTATAAATACACCCCCTTTCCTTCACAATAGATTACCAATTCCTATATACTCTTAAGCTCAGTTTAGAATAGCATTTTCTCTATATTTCTTTTAGCATGTTTAGTCTCCAAATGAGGAGCTAAACTTCCATTTCTTGGTTTTGCTCTTGAAGCTTGATTGATTATTAAAGTTGTGAGTTATTTTCTTACTTTCTCCTCTTGATTATTAATTCTTCCCTTAATCTCATTCTATATCATTGTTGGAGGGTGGCTAAGTGACGATTAGTTAACGTTCCAACATTGATTATTACTAGAAACGTTCAATGAACCGATGGTTAAACGTTGAAGGTTTCACAAGTAAGTAACTTCGGTTTGTTAATGCACGGTCGTGGTTAATAAACTTAAGAGGGATCAATTTTGTTGGTTAAACCAAAACCGTTGCGTTGAGGTTATCAATCTCAATTGATTTCATGAAGGAGTTAAAGAGATTAAATGCTACTATTATATCGGTATACGGCGTTGTTCTATATTTGATTAATAGTAAGGGTTATTAATGAACGGTCGTTGTTAATAACTACCCTCGATGAACTGGTTATACTCCGCGATTGAGTATTCGAGAGGGGATAAGTTAAGGATATAACAATGATCGACTAAAATATATCAACAAGTGGAAAGTAGCAAGACCAAGTCCCTTTTATTCTTGAATTTAATCCCATATAACTCGTTCATCTTCGTGTTTAAATTAATTAAATCACTCAACAAACAAGACCCCCCTTTTATTTACTATATTCATAAAAAGAAAGTTATTCCTTTCCCTGTGGATACGAACTCTACTACGCTATACTACGTATAAGTGTTGTATTGAATATTATTTTGAGTGCACCTCACGACAAGTGCACGTCACCACCATATTCATAAGTGCATCTTTTATCCTTTTAGTTTGGAATTTTATGTGCTTTGTGTATTTATTTTATCTTTATACAGTTTCTTAACTTCTTTTAACTTTGACTGAAGATGAGGCGGTTCTTTTTTTGTCAGTTTGCTTCTACTTTTTTTGTCAGTTTGCTTCTCTACTTTTTTCTTGGGTCGGAGGTTTGTCGTTACTCTGATGAATTCTTATCTTTTTCAATCTTTCTCATGGTTATGCTGATACCTGGGTGCTAGTAAGCATATGTTGTTCGTTTTATTTTAACCAACATTTTTCAGTTCTGTTTTGCTGCTACTTGTGTTGTTTTATTAACTTATTATATCCAAAACTTTGAAATCAATTTACAGCCTCTGTGATCAAAGAAAGAGAAGAGATGTGAAAGCAAGTGTGCATTTAACAGGAAAAATGTACTGGCTGACAGTAAAATGGAGGTCATTTAGCTCTCCTCTCCTTATTATTCTATGTGTTAATTAGAATCTTTTCTCTTTGTTGGTTATTAGTATCTTATGTTGTATTGCTATGTAATGAATGAGAATATTAGTTGACGTCACTTGACGATTTACACTCTTTGGTTATGTGGATTTACTATTTTTTGGATCATTATTCTTTGTTCCTATCATTACGTGGCATCAATTTTTGGAAGCTGCAGGGTGCCAAGTAAGCTGCTTTAGAATTCAGAAACAAACATGATGTCGAAAAAATATTGGAGCATGGAATTTACCAGCCAAGAAGAAAAGCAGAAAAAAGAATTGAGCATGATCAGATATGCCAGGCCAGCCAAGAAACGTGGAGTTGAGAAATGGAGCATGAAATTTACCAGCAAAACATGCTATTTATAGAGTATAGAGTTGAAAATGTCTTCCATCTGTTTAGTATATCGAATTAGAAGAGTTTTATAGTTAATATACTTTGATGTTTTGGGTCTTTGTATTGAGCAACTTTAGTTTACTAAATTACGAAAGATTTTTGAGATTATGGTTGTTATCAGATATTATGACTAGTATTATTTATAGAAAATCGTATAATAGATGTGTGATATAATATATAAATGAGCGAACAGTTGCATAAGTGTGCATATTGAATGCAAACATTATCACAAATCATCAAAATAATATACTGTTGGTCCCGTTTGAGTTGGTAATCAGTCTAGAGGGGGGGGTGAATAGACTGATTCAAGTTTTTCAACTTTTCTCTAAGTCAGAATTGACTTGTCAGAGAGGGTCGAGTTCTGATAATCAGAACTGGTCTTGCAGCGGATAAGAGATCAGGGTAGCCTCAAACAAATATTATGGCAAGTGCCTTTCTGATAACTCTGAAAACAAGATCTGCTGAACACAGATTCCAAGTCTTAGAGTTAAACAGTTAAAATCCTAAGTGCAGAAAATAAATGCAGTAAAGTAAATGACACCGGAGTTTTATAGTGGTTCAAGGAACAACGCGTTCCTCTAGTCCACTGTTCCACTAGCTTTGAGGTAAACGGTTACAAAGCGTAGTCCCTAGCACTTAAGAAGTTCTCCACGCCTTCTTCAAGTCTAGTTGTCACCCGGGATGCAATCCTGCTTCCTGATGACTGGTCCTTTCACTCAGCTTCCCGGAAGTATCACCACTTCACTACTGCAGTTACTCGGACGCCCTTCTTTGCAGAAGATGTTCTGAAAACAGAGTTTTCTCCAACTTGCTTCGTTACAAGAGATATGTAGTTGAAGTTCTTGAAGTGTCGAAGAAATAGGATGAACTTTGCTGTGTGTTGGAATTTGAGATTATGGAAATTAGAATCTTCCCAACGTAAGCTTGTCTTGTTGAAGATTGTAGAATTTGAATCTCAAGAGAGCTTGAATTATGATGAGCAAAAGTTGTAGCAAAGTTATTTTCTTGTTCTTCGGTGAGTAGCTTATATACTGGGGTTGTCTGCCCGTTGGAGGAGGAGACAACTGCATTGAATGCACGTACTGTTGACTTGACCGCCGTTTTGGAAGGTTTCTATTTTTATAATATATCTTCCCGGATTCCTTGGTCAATCATTTGCAATCAATCCTTCAGCGTATCAGGCTCATTTAATGTGCATTAAATGCTTTCCTTTCATGCACAGTTTTCTAGCCGTTGGATGTTTTTACCCGTTGGATTCATAGCTGTTGGATGTTGCTTGAAATCTTCTAAGTGTTAGTCGGGCTCTGATCAGGCTCTTCTGATGTGTTGGATTCTGATGGCTTACTGATGAGTTGAGTTCTGATGGCTTTCTGATCTCTGACTGAACTCTAACTCTGACTCTGATAGGTCCGCTGATGAGTACCTCTGATCTGTAACTCTCATCGGTTATCAGATGTCCAATTTATCAGCAACTCTCATGGTGCAACTCTGATGAACTTCTGATAAGAGAACTCTGATGGGGCAGTTCTCACAGAGCAAGTCTGGTCGAGCAGTTCTGATGCACTTCTGATTTGATCCAAAACAGAGCAACTCTGATCGTCGACTACACTAATACATACAATTGAAAATCCTAATACATAAAATCTAATTGGGGGTACTCTAACTTTCTAATCCTATAGCATCATCAAAATCTAATTACATTTATTCCTTACATATACGTTGCATAAATTTAGACGTGTGTTGCTTATGACTCCAAATAAAGTGTTGCTCATTTCGCAAAAAACGTTGCATAAAATATTCATATTAGTGTTGCATGATACAAATTAGTGTTGCAAAAGAATATAATAAATATGTTACATACTTTGAAAAAGATGTTGCATAAAGTTATATTAAAGTGTTACATTTTATTACAAAAAGTGTTACGTATATGATGGCTAAAGTGTTGCAAAGTAGTGTTGATTAGAGTTATTTTAGTAATACTTTTTCCTAGTGTCGCATTACATGACGAAAAATGTTGCATATGACTTTATTCAACGAGACCTGAAGTAACGCTCATTATAATGTTACATAAACCTTTCGTAATATTATAACGGTCTTATGTAACATATTTGAAATGTTGCAAAACGTCGAATTTGTTGTAGTGACCCCTCCTTTAAAGATGAGTAAAAGATAGTCAAGAGTCATAATTAAATGTTTAATTCATAATAAATTCGAAAAATTTTCAAAACATCGTAGAAAATTAATAAAAAATTAATAAAATATTTATAGAAAAAATTATTTTTTTTAAAAAGGCAAAGTTCCCTAAGACTAAAATAGTTTGAAAATTTCAAAATAGGATTGCCATGTTTTTCTTTTTCCAAAATAGGAGCAATTAGAGTCAAGTTTTGAAAATATTGCCATGTTTGAAGTCTGATACTGTCAAGTATGACAGTAATTAGTCCTGTTTTGGGAATAAAACCATGACAGTCTTATTTTGAAATTTTGAAACCTTTTTAGTCCTATTTCAGGTAATATTCTCTAAAAACAAATTAATAAAAAAAGTAAAACTCCATAAAAAAAAATTAAAAAAACAATATGGATGCCTTTCCCACCGCCTGTACTGTCTCCTTGCACCATCACCTCCGACCGGTGTAAAAAATGTTATTTTTTCTAAAAACTGCCATTTTTTCTTAAAATACCAAAAAAATGGCATATTACTTTTTGAGATTGCCAACATTTTTATTGTTTCTGCCATAAATATGGCATTCATAATGAATGTGAAATTTTTCCCCCGGTGACCAGAGGTGGTGGTACTGCCTCCGTGCACCACCACCTCCGACCAGTGTAAAAATGTCATTTTTTCTAAAAAAAAATGCTATTTTTTTCTTCTGAAAATGACAAAAAAAATGACATATTACTCTTTGAAAATGCCAACATTTTCATTATTTCTGCCATAAATATGAAATTCGTAATGAGTGGGGCATTTTTTCCCCTCGTGACTGGAGTTGGTGGGTGCTAGGGCGGCAGAGGCGGTGGTGATTTTGGTTTGTTTTGTTTTGTTTTTCAAAAAAAAAATTTTAAATTATTATTATTTAAATATTTTTATTATTTTTTAGTACATTTTACGAATTTTATTATTTATTATTATTTTACTATGAATTAAAACATTTCAATAGCTACAAGGTTTATTTGTCCAAGACACACATAATTAGTAATATAAAAACATAGTTTATTTTTTTAGTCCTATTTGTGCAAAGTGACTGACTTTTAGTCCTATTTTGATAATTAACCCTAATAAACCACTACATCTTATATTTCTAATAGGAAAATTTTACAAAAATAATCCCACCTTTCATCGGTGTTTTTATAATAATCCTACCTTTACGTAATCCCCAAATAATCTCACTTTTGCATTCCATCTTCTTCGTTGGACCCTGACCTGTTGCTGAGCTACTATATCAGGTTTTTTGACCTTTCTTTGAAAACCTAACTTAATAATCTCATCTTTCACAAATGTGCTCAAAACGGTCCCATGTTTCATTATTTCTTTTTTCTCTCTAATTTTTTCTTTGTTTATTTTCATCCGATACCTAGACACTTTTTATTACTTTTTCTATCATTTTGTTCTTATTTCTTTTCTATTTTTATTATTTTATTTCGTAATGTATTAGGAGAGTTTTTTTTTTTGTAAAATTTCCTCCCCAAATAGATCATTTTGTCATTTTGAGTTTCTTCCTTTATTTTTATTTCATTTCCTTTTTTATGTTTCTCTTCTTAATCATTCTCTTCTTATTAAAGATATTTTTCCACTCTACGTTTTGTTGTATTTCCTTTTTATTTTCACTTTCCCATTTTCTTCTTCTTGTTTCTTTTTTTTAATGAATTTCTTTTTTTCTTGTTGTTCTCTAATTTCACCATCAATATAAATTTTCTCTTTTTTGTATAAATTTCCATTATCGTATTTTTCGAAGTAAGTCCACTCATTAATTCCATCAACTATACGAAAAACTCTATGTGACAAAAAGATTAGGGAAAAATTAAATTAAAAGAAAAATAAACCATTTGCAAAAATGAAAGACAGAAAAAATTACATTTTACTGAATGTTTTATTTTTATTTACATTTTCCAAATGTTTTAATTTTCCACAATCTTTTTTATCACATAGAGTTTTTCCTACAATTGATGAAATTAATGAGTGGATTTAGTTAGAAAAAGACGATGATGAAGAAAGGAGAAAAAATATTTTGATGGTGAAATTAAGGTAACAACAAGAAAGAAAAGAAGAAAGAAGAGAAAACATAAATAAATTAACAAGAAGATAAAAGCGGAAAAGTGAAAATAAAAACCAAAATATAACAAAAAGTAGAGTGAGAAAAAACTTTTAATAAGAATAGAATGCTTAAGAAGAAAAACATAAAAAGGAAAATGAAATAAAAATACGGAAAGAAAAAGAAAAAGAAAATGAAAAAAGAGCTATTTTGGAGGGAATGTTTACAAAAAAACTCTCCTAATAGTATAGAGCGAGAAACAGAATGAAAAAAATGAAAAAGAAATAAAAACAAAAGAATAGAAAAAATAATAAAAAAAGTGTAGGTCTAGGGATGAAAATAAAGAAAGAAACATTTTAGGGAGAAAAAAGAAAAAAGAAACATGGAACCGTTTTGAGTAGCTTTGTAAAAGGTGAGATTATTTATGTAAGATTTTCAAAGAAATGGTAAAAACTTGATATAGTAGGTCATCAACTGGTTAGGGTCCAACGAAAAAAGATGAAGTGCGAAAGTGAAATTATTCTAAGATTACATAATGGTTGTATTATTATGAGAAGACGAGTCAAATGTGGGATTATTTTTGTCTATTTTTTCTTTTTAATATCTCCCTCTATTTCAAATCATTTCATAGAAGAAGGGCAAAAGAGGGGACTGAGTACGCTTAAATCTAATTCTAGAGAAGCTAAAACTGATCGGCTCTGTTAATTATCACGATTAGGCTAAGATAAACGATAAATTTAAAGCAAGAACACAAGAATTTACGTGGTTCACGCAATCGGTGTGATTACGCTAGTCCACGGCGAACGAGAGAGAGATCTATTATTATTCCAGCGTCTGGTATGTTTACAGATACATTAGGGATGTTTAAATAGGTTTAAGAAAGCCTAAATAAGGGTTAAGGCCGCAGGCCCAAAAATTAATCCCGTCAT